TGTTTGGAAATGTTGAGATGTTTCATTTGACCTAAACAAAATGCTTGGACATTCTTCAGTTGAAATGTTTCATTCCTGCCTATTGAACCAAATCAAAACACTTAGCTGTGGTGAAGCACTGTAATGAAGAGCTTGGGAGGGAGCAGCTGCAGCTCATTCTAGCAGCACTTGTCTGTCCCAGGGTTGGGAGAGGGTGACATTCCTTTGTCAAAGGTGCAGTGTTGAGCATCTCCAACATATTGATGAATTAAGATGGGCTGCTGACTTGTTAATTTTTGTTATTTTTTAACTCAAAGCTGAGCTATCAGAGACCAGATAGCACCTCCAAAACCTGCTAATGCTCTGAATCTCCACTAACAATTGGTTGCTAGTCCTTCATTAGGTATCCTTCATTGATGGATTGCCCCAGTCTGGCTGCTGTCCAAAAGGTCCTCCTGCCATAAACAGCTGTCTGAAGGGAAAAAGAAGTGGCAAAAATGTTTTAATGGCCTGGTCTTCTAGGGAAAAGAGGCCAATGTGACCTGCTGCTTTATGTGTGTGTGTGCGTGTGCTCACGTTTGTCTGTCTGTCCTCCCAGTTGTGTCTTTAGTTATGTAGTTAATGATCCACTTCAAACAAATTTGGGCATGTTTATACATATGATATGGGGTAGATCTGTGGAAAGCAGTGGGCCTCTGCTGTCCCACCCTTTGGAGTGTGAGTGAGCCACTAGCCTCAGGTCCTTCCCTTCTGTTCCCGTATGTGTATCGGTGAACAGTGAAGCCTGTTAAACAGTGAGGTTTGTTGACAGATCCCTTCTCCCCTCCACACCATTGCCTGGAAGTTAATCCAGCCCACTAAGTGGAAAACTGTGATTAAAATCATTGCCCTGATTCAGATAGGGTGAGTTTGAACTCAGACCCTCCTCGCTCCTAGGAGAGCTTTCTAAGCACTCCACTACAAATTTTGCTGTATAGATATCTCTTGTGGCAAGACACAGCAAAATGGCACAAAAAAAAAGGAAGGGAGAGCCTACAGGGCAGAGCTGGTGCCCCAGGGTGAACTACTTAAAGCAGGTTAATGACTGATGAAGGTGCGGTGTCCCAGGGTACCACAGAAGAGGCTTTGTATGCCCAAGAGATGCTCTCCTGGAGGCTCCCTCTACAGCGTTTTTCCCTGCTGAGTGTTTGTGGAGCACTACCACAGTTTAGACAGTAGTTTCCGAAGGAGCATAAGGGAATTAGTCATTTGATCCCACTGAATTTCAACAGTGTCAAGGCCCCCTCCTAGAGGCTCCCCAAAAGCCCTTTTTAAGGATGCCAGATCCTAGCAACAGCAAAAGCAACCATCGGTCTGATCTCAGGAACAGACTGGCTTGTTGACACATCAGTGAAAAGCAGCTTCAACACAGTCTGTTCACCCTGCGGCTGCCAGTTCGGCTGCTGCTCTGAGTGTTTGATCTAGCAAAGACTCCAGCCCAGAAAAACAAAGCCCAGCGTTTCTAGTTCCCAGCTTAGGGAGCTCATTGCCCCGTGTGCTGTTTCCCTGGTACCAAAAGCCCAAATGCCATTCTTTAACGTTTCCTAGTTCAGTTCATCCTCAACCAAAGTCACATTCCGTTAAGCTGTACACTAGCTGTAGCTTTGTCTTTAGACTTTAGACCTCCTTATTACCCCTGTGTTATTCCGCTTGGCTGCCACTTAACTGCCTGTTTAACACAGGCAGGTGAACCAGCACCGCTGTCCCAGGGCTGGAGCTGTGCTTCCCTGGGTATCCCAAGGGAGAGGATTACAGATGACACTGGAAGAGTGTCTGATGTTGTGCCACCACCATGACATGATGAAATTCACAGGGAGAAGGGGCTACAGAAATTCTAACACCCTGTTTTTTGTAATTAAAACAACCTCAGATGGAAAAAAGTAACGCTGTAGACAACGCTCTTAGGGAGCTGGTGAAGCTAATCTGCATTGCAGTGATGCTGTCTGACCCAGACACTCATCCAAGCGAAGCTGATTTGTGCTCCAGTCGTTTCAGAGCTAAGATGAGCTGAGGGATACATCTTCCCCCCCACCTCCGCCCCCCAATTTAGACTGCCCCACCAGATCTGGTTAGAGATAGATTGCCTGGTGGAGTCAGTCTCATACCATACTCAACGTAAAACATTGAAGGAAATCTCAAATATATAGTCTGAGAAACAGGCACTGAAAAGGATTTAGTTTGTTGGGGAGAGTTTGATGTGGGAGATGAGAGAAGTTTTCCTGGTGAAAGATGGGTTCGCGGGGCTTGTTCCCTCTCTCTGGTTCTCCCTGTCTTTGCTGGGGTGGGGAGTCCCGCATAGTCCCTCTTGGACACTTATATTTGAAAAGGGGAACAAAAAGGGGATTAGGGGATGTTATCGCTTTCATTTTCTAATTGGAAGGGAGCTTTAATATATTCATTATCTGCTCACAGCTGATGCTATGCTGTCTAACAGCACCGAAATTGCAGGATGACAATTATACCACTGATGGCATAATTTATTGTTTTTTCATTACCCAAGGTAATTCCAGTGAGGTAATAAATCTACATGTCAGTAAGAAAATACTCAGTTTACCAGCTGTGCTGTATTTTATAGCCACGGGTTTAACGCTTTGAGAGGAGTGTTTGCTAAGCATCGCTTTGCAATTAGAGGCAAAGAGGAAATTAAATGTTCCATTTTTGTTACCAAAAAAAGATATTTGTTTCTCATAAGTTGTCTTTCTGTTAATATTGCATAACTCAGTGTCTTCATCTTTTGCTTGCTCATCAGCTCAGCCCAAAGATGGCATTGAAATACCAAACTGGAACTCTGCTCCATCAAGGAACCTTAGCCTTTCAATGACGGTGTCGGGACGACGCCAGGACTGTTTCACCTCTTTGTTTACTGACTCAAGAAAGATTGCCCAGAGCCTTGGGTACATGGAGAATCATGGAAGAACACATTCTGCTTATGAGGACTACCAAAAGTCTGCATCCAGGTACAGGCACAGTTGGGGCTTTCCTTCAGGTTATTTTTGTAGGGAATGGTGTTTGCTGCAGTATCTCCTTTAGAGGAGCTGTGAAACACAAGCAAACCCTTCATTAGAGGCTGAGTCATTATCCAGGAGGATACTGGAGAACTTAGAGGCTTTGAAATGTAATGACCTCACTTGTTGCTTTAGGGACAACTGCCCCCATATTGGACTTCACCCTCAGAAAGGGTACATCACCCTTCATTCACCATGTCCCTTTCAATGTTTGTTAATACATTCTGCCCAGGGCTTCAAAGATACCTCCCTTGTGAAGGCAGTCCAAAAAAGGAGCAGAAACACTGTATCTCATGGCTGGTTTGGCCTTGTCTTCAGGTGATGGCACTCAGTTTTGAATCCAAGAGTAGAACTGATACTGCAGGGGACTTCAGAGGGTACCACCATATGGGCTGCATGAAGCTATTTGAGACAGTGACAGACTGAAGTGGGCTGTATGGGGTTAATACCCACCTAGAAATCCCATTAAAAAAAATAAAGTATTGTCTCCTGGAGGAGCTAGTTGTCCCAAAAAAGCATTTGTCATATTTAGTTTAGCTTCACATATACTAAAGGTGGGAAAGACCTATCAAAACAGATCCTCAGCTGGTTTCAGTTATCTTGGATCTGTCTCCTTCAGAGAAATGACGACAACTGACATCTCCAGTTTTAAGGCTAGCCCGTGTGGACGCTGTCTCCTACAGACTATTTCCTACTGCGTTGTACAGTGGATAGGCCTGCACATGCTTATTGCTAAGAGTGCTTTCACAATACTCAACTTACATTTCTCCTTTTATAATGATATTTCATTGGTGATAGTTCAGCTGTATAAAGCCTTTGCCTTTTTGGGATTTTCCACCCACCTGCCATACCCACTCTGGTATCACATGTCCCTGTGATTATCTGTTGAAGACAAGCATTTTAGCGCTTTTACTTTTTTTCCTCCCACAAATTAGTCCCTGGATCCCTCATCATTTTTATACCCTTCTATAATGCCTTGTTAATTGTCAATATTTTTCTGGTGATGAGACATCCTAAAATGAACCCAATGCATTTTATTCTGGTCTCATGCCAGCCTAAATCCAGAGTTTCTAGCAGAGTAGTACGTAAAACAAAAGAAAGCATCATGGATGAGGTCGCATGTTTGGTGCCTCAGGCCAAGATGCGAGGAGTGGATGAACTCTATGTTGCCTGTATGAGAAGTGGGAGAACTCTATTTACCTGCATTTACTCCTAGGAGGAACTAGGAGGAATTTTCTTATGGTCGGTGAAGCCTGGTCACACCAGGCACTGGTGCATGTGAACATCAGGATTAGTACTTCCAGCTTCCCCTCTCCACAGCTGCACAAAGGGAATCTGCCACTCCATGCTCCCTACTCTGCAAAGACAGTGCCATAAAATTGTAACAGCCTTTTTTGTTCTGTCAGATTGCAAATGCATCATTGGCTTTCTCCTAGCCTTCTTTCAGTGTTATTGCTCTCCATACTTTTCCCTCCAGTGAATGCTATTTCCCCCCTGATAAATTAGTGTACCATTTCCCAAGAGCTGCATCTCACTTATTGCCTGCCCATATTTCTTAGCTCTCTAGGGCTCTCCGTATTCTTTCTCTTGCTCTCGTTTGTGTTCCCCTACCCTCTCCCCTCAACTTAATGTTATCTACATATTTTATTAACCAGCTGTTTTATTCCCCCTCACACATCACATGTGGAGATGCTCTGTGAAATGAGAGCTACCCGTTGTCCCTATAGGGAACATATGAGACACAACCCCCTCGTCTATTATTATTCCTTGTTTGCAGACCTTCAGACAGTTCCTGTGACAGTATTTATGCCTAAGCCAATGGGAGATAATATTTTGAGAGGCACTTTATCAAATGCTTTCCTGACTCCCAGCTCTTTGATGCCTGCTGCTCTCCCTGCTCTCATTCATTTTGTAGTTCTGTCGACTTTATATGCATTTTTCTCATGGACTTAGTCTTTGTAAACCCGTGGTGCTCCTTGCATATGTTTCCATAAAGAGATCTGTGTAATTCTTGGGACATTACAGGGAGAGCCATGAAAAGATACCTTTGAAAGCCAGCATGAAAGCTCCAGTTGTCTTCAGAGCTCTAAAGCTGTTTCTAAATAATGAGATACGCCATACTGTTTGACTGGGCTTAGGGAGAATAACTCTAGATAAACATTAGGAGATAAAAGAGATCACCTTCCCCTTTATGTATTTCCTTGTATTGTGTGAACTGTTTTTCAGTGGGGATTGAATCACATCTTGTCTCATACAGAAAACAAAAGAAGTCATTAGCTCTGCTAATTGTTGAAGATAAAGAGTAAAATGCGATGACAGTTTACTTTGTGTGTGGTTAAACTCGTTAAATGCATAAATTAAGCAATTCTTTTAATTCTCATTTGATTCATTACTATTATGGTATTCCACCATGCCAGCACACTAGCACTTTTTTTTTATTCCACTCTATGTGAATTTAAAGTATACCTTTTCTTGTTGTATACATTAAGTAAACAAATTTACATTGAGTACACAATACTTAATGTTTTAATTTGGTGTTGGATTATACAACATCCTTTGAGTGTAAACAGTGTGAACACATAGTTTAGTAATACTTCTATAGAAAGTTGATAAGTAGTGTGTCTTGATCTGATTTTTTGTGAAGCCACAGTACAAGTATACATAAGCTTAGTAGAAATATGTGGGTTTGGCCAACTAGGATATTTGGAGGGAGGTTGTTTATAATCGACTTTAATTTACATCCATTTGCTTTTGAGAATATGTGAACATACTTAGAGCACCTTGAAGGTTATATGTTTAACTAGATTTAATTAGATGGTTAATGAATGTCATACTGAGAAATGGATGGGAGTTGAGGCATCAGGATTTTCAGCTGCGTCAGGATTCACTGCATCAGGATTTTCTGCTATCAGCTGTGTGCAAGAGGGTGACAGTATTGTCACACGTGTCCTGGTGCTGATTCTTAGAGACAGATGTTGGGTGCGTTCAATGTGAATGTCGCCCTAAACCTTTCCCTGACTTTTGCACCTGAGCAGTGCTAAATCTGCTGTATTTTGGGGTGACTGTTTTGCAGAAAACAAGAAAAATAGACACAGATACTTGAAATTTTGTGCATGGCTATTGAAAATCCTCAATATCTATTTTGTACTAAGTGCAAGTGCTCTACGTACTGAGAATGAGTAAAGTTTAATCCCTGATCTGTAAAGCACTCGGGATCTCAGCTGAACCTTGGCATTTCAGGCCTATAGTTGCATACAGCTACTATGTATGCACCATTTCTCAGCCTTTCACAAAGAAAGATCTGAGCCTTCTCCTGGGACTTTTCCTGTTTTATCCCTCTAGTATAGTTAAATCTGTTGGCATAAAAATAAATAGATTCGTACTTCTGGAGATAAGCCTTTCCCAGCATAATAATAGTATCAATCCGTGACTTTCTTTAAGGCTTAAGAGCTTAGAAAGACTTGAATTCTTGGCACGTATTCTAGTTAAAATGCCCAGTTTCTACCTCCACCAGCTCACAGTGGAGCTCTTCAAATGGTGTCCTACTGGCAGGTGACGGGTCCATGGCTAATGCACCCTGTGCTCCCAAGAGCACTGACATTTTATCTCCCCTCAGAGTTACGTACATTATAAAAAATTTTGGATTCTGTTCCACCAGTGAATATTAGCACATAGCAAAAGAAACTACAGCATCAACGCACACCAACGTCTCCTCCATGCACTTTAGCACTTTAGCTCCCGTCTCACAGGAGCTGGTCCAGTATTTTGAAAGGTAAACTGACTTGCTAAAAAAAGCTTTGAAGCCTTCAGTGAACATCTCCTTAGAGATGTTATTCCCTCATTTAAACTCACAAAAGTCTGTTGCCATCTAGCAGCTAGCTGGCTGTACATGTTCTTAGAGAAGTCCTGCAGGTGTCACTTTCCCCACCAGCTCCCTCTCTCATGTTAAGTGTAGGGCTTTTGCATGGAACTAAGAACTGCATGCATGCTTAGAGTGCAAACAACAAACTGGTTTGGGGGAATTAGTTCAAATGGTGCTTATACATTTGGGATTTTTATGGTCGAGGGTAGGAAGTGCACAGGCTAAGGTCCAAATTCCCAATGAGACATACACATAGGTCACGATATTCGTAAATTCAGAGCCTTGTTTGGCAGAAAATATTATACCAGAACATGAAGGTACAAAGCATAAGTATTTTGTTATCGGATTCCTTAAAAATAGTTGCTGGTAAAACAAGATTTCCAGTACAAACAAATAATCTTTATTCAGTCCTTTGTTAATTTAGTCACTCTCAATTTCGTCAAATAGAGGCTATATCCCCAGAAATTCCTCTGACAAAGGGTTCTCCCAAAATCTGGAAGATTATCCAATTACATTTTAAAGAAAAGTACAGCAAGCAAGGATGACTGACTGAAGACAGAAGTCTCTGAGGAAAAGAGCAGGAAAG